TCAGCAGGTCCTGGTTCCCCACTTCTCTGGCAAAAAAGACTCATGTAGTTTCTAAGGGCCCCGTCAATGGGTTGGCAGTACCCTGGTCAGTGAATACGGAAGCTGTTCAGCTCCTGGCCCCTCACTGCCTTAGATCTTTCCTGGTACTTCAGGAAGCTGCTTCTGCTCATGAACTAAAATTGTCTTATAATCAAGCAAATAATCTTCTGGGCACCAAACAGTCCATGAACTAGGTAGGTCTCAGCTACCCAATGCAACACACTCCTCCATCCCCAGCCTTCTCTGGGCCTCCCTTGGCCCAGCCCCAGGCCACAGGCAGACTCCAGTCTCAGCTGCTGTGGGAATGTCTCCCACTCAAAGCCACAGGCTGAGGACCCCAGGAGAGGCCCCAAGCTTGCCAGCAGCATCCAGTCAGCAGCTGGCAGAGCTGAGGGGGAGAAAAGCCAGAAAAGGAACAGTCTGAAGCTCTCTGGGGAATTAAAAGCCATTCAAGAGGCAAATCTGCCCCATGGCAGGGAGATGAAACAGGCAAACTATCCTCAGTGGACACCACGTCCTAAGAGGCCAGGTGAAAAGGCTCTGATGGTCAAATCTGACTCACCCAATGTGGTTGGTACGAAGTGAGATCTCCAGCTCTCTCAGCACTTTGGTTGACTCCTGCACTCTTCTCCTGAACTTCTGTAAACATGGAATTTTCTGTCACTGATGGAGTGACAAGCCAACTTTACAATACAAGCAAAAGGGGTAGAAAAGGAAAGGGAAGGCATACAAGAAGGCAGTTATAGTCTTTCCCTCTGTTACTAGCCAGCCACTCCAGGGCCATGGCCTCAGAGCACAGACACCCAACTCCCATTGCTCAGAAGCAGTCCCAACCCAAGTCCAACGGTTTGCCCCTAAACCCCACAGGACTGTAAAGGGCAGCAAAACGGGGACTCCCTGCCTCGCACTTCACCTTCCGAGTTACGCTGGGGTCCAAGAAGCTCTGGAGTTTCTGGATGTAAGTGTGGGGAGGATTCTTCACCTGGAATCGTTCCTGTAAGGGAAACACGCGTGTGTACACAGACGCCCAGGGTTCTGAGGGGAGTGCTGAGGAAGCAGGGCACTCACAGTGTGTGATGTGAGGGGACTCCTAAAGTTACCACCTGGCCCCTAACATCACCCAAACCATAGGTTCCCCTTCGTGACTTATCCTCAGCCACTTCTCATCTGTTGCCATCTTCTCCTCCTTCAATTAGTACTCCCTGAGCCTAAAATATTTTTCTACATTAAAAATTATTTTAAGAGCCTGCTGCTTGCTAAGAAGATGCGGGGATTACATAGCTCTAAACAGCACCCAAAATAAAGACATGACTGGGAAATGTTGTTCACTTCCTAGCCAGCTAATGGACAGTGGTTAGGAAGGCGAAGGGGAGGGGAGCTAGGCCTTGTAGAAGCCAACTTTCTGAGCCCTGAGCCCAGACTTGGGACTGGACTGGTTTTGCTGTGTTAACACAGCTTAGGAGTGCAAACACACTTTCTGCTCCTTGCCCAGGTCCCAGGCGCCCACAATCCAAGCAACCCCAAATGCTGCAGGCTGCTTTCAGCAAGATCACTGCTCCGTCCCCTTCCACACAGGGCACCCACTCCCCACTGTGGGCCAATCCCCTCATCTGACCCAAGGGAAAACTCTTAAGCATTCTGGTCCTGTAAGGGCCTCCACAACGGAGATATCTGAAGAGTTAGGGGCTGGAGAGGGTCCAGGAGAATGATATAATGTTAGGAAACAGAACCTAAAAACAAATGAAAGAAAAAAAGGAAAGGTTTGAGAAAGAGCTGACATTATGTGACCTAGAAAAGACCGAGAGATTATCAATTAAAGAAACTCAGTACCAAAGGGCTACTGTTCTCCAAACCCCAGGTAGGTGCTCACCATGCTCATCAACTCCTCTTAATGCAGAATTCAAGGAAATTGGCCTTCCCTGGATAAGAAGCGACCTGGACTAGGTTCTCTGAAGCATGATTCTACCTTAGGTCAAGCAGCATGACTTGGGAAGCAGAGGAGCACAATAGTTAGCACAGATGGAGTTGGCAGCCTGAGCCCTGGCTCTATCACCTACTAGTGAAAGGCAAGTTACTGAGCCTCAGGTTCTGCTTCTATAAAATATAACAGTGCCTTCCTCAGAGGGTTTTTGTGAGGATTATATATATATATATATATATATATATATAAAAGTGCTTGGTCCATAATAAGTACTCAATAAATGTTAGCTATTGTCATTTTTGTGATTTTATTCAGGGCTTGAAAAAAATTATGTTTATGACAAAACTCCATCAGAAAGTGCTGGGTAAACAGACTGCCTACACTCTGTGCCAGGTGCTTCTATACCTCCCAAGAGGTAAGGAACTAAAAGCCAACTCTCCCAGCAGTGCAGACAGGCCTGTCTGAGTTCAGAAACTCATGACTTGTGATCTTCAAATGTGGGCAGGGGAAAGAAAGAGCAAGGCCGCAGGCATTAGTTCTTGATTCTGAGCTAAGTGATAATCTCTATTTTCTCTTCTGGCTATAAACACTTTCATGTAGGGAGAGCTTCCAATCCTCATGTTCTGAGATTTGGGAACAGGAGACTAGAGGACTGGGGCTTCTCATTCCTAGAGGCCTGTAAATAATGGGGAAAATCCTGCTACTTGCCAGGTCTGGAGCAGAGTGAGAGAAAAATGGTGCTTTGGATTTCCCAGCCAGGGACAGCCCTCACCCTGGGGAAAGGCAGAAACAAGCTCTGCTGGGAAAAACACCAAACTCCTCCACAGCAGACCCTACACCTCAGACGTACACAAACCTCCTTGAGGTTGCTGCTCACTGGGAAGAAATCAAGACAGTTCTTTGTGGCAGCTAGAGGGGAACTTGGCCTACCAGCCCTGTCTCTGTTAGGAGAGGCATTTTGGATCAGGAAGTAAGCATGGACTGAGGCCACGTCTAGGTCAGAGTTCCTCAAGGAACCCCAGAGCTGCAGTCAATGCCCACGGTCCTGCTGCCTCGTCCAGCTCAAGACACACCCCCACTTCTGGGCCCACCGCAAACCCCGTACCTGGTCACAGATCAGATCCCACTTCTTCTCGTTGTCATACTGCCGCAGGAGCCGGGCTTTGTCAGGAGGCAGGTTCATGGAGCTCTGAGGAGAGAACCTGAGTCAACAGGGCTGATAGGCTTCCCTTAGGCCTGGTCCCTCAGGCTTCACCCTGACACTCTGTGGCTCATAAGGAAGGCTCAGAGAGGCATGACCATCCTCCTGCTTCCCCTTCATATTTGCTTAAGCTTGGTTGAGCAATGTTTTCCAAACCACAGGTTGTGGAATCAATTTAGTCAGTCAAGAGTACCTTTATTTTAAATGAAAATGAACAGATTGGTTATCGGGGTGGGGGAGGGATAAACTGGGAGATTGGGACTGACATATACACACTACTACACATAAAATAGATTAACTAGTAAGAACTGGCTGTATAGCACAGGGAACTCTACTCAATACTCTGTAATGGCCTATATGGGAAAAGAGTTAAAAAAAAAAAGAGTGGATATATGTGTATTTATAACTGATTCACTTTGCTGTACACCTGAAACTAACACGACATTGTAAATCAACTATACTCCAATAAAAATTTTTTCTAAATAAAATTAAATTAAAAAAAAGAAAATGAACAGATTAAAATAGAATAGGATTGAAGATACCAGAATTCATTGCAAGTAGGAAGTATAAATAATGTTTCACGGACTTCCCTGGTGGCGCAGTGGTTAAGAATCCACCTGCCAGTGGAGGGGACGCAGGTTCGATCCCCAGTCCAGAAAGATCCCACATGCCACGGAGCAACTAAGCTCGTGCACCACAACTACTGAGCCTGTGCTCTACAGCCTGTGAGCCACAGCTACTGAGCCTGCGAACCACAACTACTGAGCCTTCAAGCCACAACTACTGAAGCCTGCGCGCTCTAGGGCCTGCATACTGCAACTACTGAAGCTCGCGTGCCACGCTCCAAGAGAAGCCACCACAATGAGAAGCCCATGCACTGAAACAAAGAGTAGCCCCCGCTCACCGCAACTAGAGAAAAGTCCCACGTGCAGCAACGAAGACCCAACACAGCCAAAAATAGATAAATAAAAGTTTCATGAAGTTTTGTTTCTTTTTATATATTATGCATACACACACACACACACACACACACACACAGATCACACTGTAAAATGTGTTTCTTAACATGGAACCGGGCAAAAAAGTTTGAAAGCTACCAGTCTTAAGTGGCAACCTTCAATCGATTTCCCCCCACGGTCTGAGAGCTGATCGGGCTTCCTGCACCACGTGTGCCCACGGGTGAATCCTGAGCCACGCACAGCCTGTGCAGATGTCACAAGTCTACCCCTTTCCCTCATATCAGGATACAAGTGAATGAGTAGAACATTAACGTAAAGGTAACTGCTCAAATTTTTAAGGAAATAATTTACAAAATTTCAGGACTTTAATTATTAGTATCAATTACTTATGACACAGCTCCCAATTATTTAAGACACAGTAAAGTGTCCCAACCCCCTGTTGAGACACTCTAACCTAGAGTACAGGACAGACCAGGAGTCATTTTATTTTGTTCACTACTGCTTGCTGAGTGAATAAATGAATACAAGTGTAAATGAGTAAAAGCCAAGGCATCCATGGGTGAGCTCCACCCAGACCAGCAGCCGTACCTTCCCCTCCCTTTTTACCTCCGTCCAGCCAAGGCCCTCCTCTAGCCAGTCCGGCGGCTGCCTTGGTGGCAGTCACAGCCCTTGCCTCCAAAGGCAGATCACTCACCTGCACCCCACCCCCAACTCCTGAATCAGATATGATCTCCTACCTGAAGTAGCAGAGCTGTCTGATGACCCACGTGACTACCCACAAATCTGGCCTCTTCCCCCAGCACACTCAGGCCACCTGGAAGGCCTTCCTCTCATCGTTCTCTCCTTTACCTACTGCTCCAAGTTCAGCTCTTAACTCCCGGGTAAACGAAGCATGACCACTTGGTTTACCTCTACCCACTCCTTGACATCCTCATCCCTGGGAACATGAATCGTGTGCGCCCGGGATCCCAAGGAGTCACACAGGCCCTGCATTATTCCAAAAGCATCAGGAGTATCCTGGGAGTGGGGCCTCCATTTTCTAAGAAACTGAAAGAAAATCCTTAAACACCGTTTATTTCTGTTACATGTATCTATTTATTATGCATTTATTTACATACATACGATTAAGCCAGTTGTATGCTCATCTAGCTCCTAAAGGACTGTATCTATTCGTACGATCTCCAGCCCCCAATAATGTCTAAGCCTGTGACAGGCACTGAGTAAGTTGATGGTAAAGCTATGGTTAAGATGTCCCGGTTCTGAGCTCTGGGCCCAGCTCCTTGCTGGAAACAGGGTCACTATGGTTCAAAAAAGGACCGTTGGGATCTCTGCTCAGTGTTTAGAAGTAGAAGAACTCAGGAATACAGAAGAGGTCAAGAGAAGAAAAGAAGGGGAAGAGACCACCACTTCACACCTCTCCCCATGGTTTCTGCTGCCCTGTTAACCTGCCTGAGCTTCCTGCCTGAGGCAAGAGGGGCTAACCGAATCCTCCCCACTGCCAATGTAGCAGGGATGGCCGGACAGGCTAATACAACCCCAGATGTTCTCTCTGGAATTACTTTGCTAAGGACCAATCTCAGCATGTCTCTGTGGATAACAGGACAGGAGCAGGAAGCCACAACAGAACAGGGACCCAAAGATCAAAGGTGGCCCAGAGCAAGTTCTCCCACCTAACCAGGGCCAGGCTGCTGCCAGCTGAGCCCAAGTGAGACCAGGCCTGGTTCTGGCTCTGTGTGCGTCCTGAGATGACTTCACTGTCATCTGCTCCTTTCTCCCAAGTCTGTGCCGTGAAGATAGAAAACAGTTGTCTCCCTTGGAAGAACGCGACCGGGCCGGGGGCGGGAGCTTGTCGCTACTGTAGCAGACATCACATCCCGTCTATACCAACCTCCTCCCTCAGCCACCCACTGTCAGCTGCTGTGGCCTCACACTTCCCCACCAGGTGAACTGGTGAGAAAACGTCCCCCCAGGGCTTCAAAGACGAAGCAGAGTCACCACCTTTGGGAACCCTAGCCTAAGAGCATGGAGGAGGAACCTCAGGGACCTGGCCAAAATTTAGATGCCCAGGAGAGAGGGACACCAGTGTATGGAAATGGGTGGCAGAAGCATGAATCAGCTCCAACCACAGGCCCACATCCTCCAGTCCAGAGTTCTGGGTGGCACTTTCTGGACAGTGATGGCGGTCTTCTCTGCTCCTTTGGGGCCGAAGTGTGATGGGGAAGGAGGTGGGTGGGGGAATTCCCCAGCTTCCAACACTCACAAGAAGCCCATCACTGACTCGGGGGTGGGAGCCACTGGCTAGGGGGCAGGACCAGGGCCTGGCAGTTCTCCCCCTGCCAGACTAGGGCATCGGGGCTTCTGCCTCCACCAGAAAACGTGTGTGAGGCCAGCAGGGCTCAACGTCCTGAGGAAGGGCAGCTTCCTGAGTTCCGGGGACACAGCCAGGGAGCAAATCTGACATGGTTCCTTCTGGTCTCGGCCAGAGGTTTGTTTCCTTGACATTTTCCTGCCGTGGTTCCGCAGAGACCTCAGGCTCTCTTGAGGCAGAAGCTGGGCTGAGTTCTTGCTAACTCCTCACTGAGATCCTTGCTGAACAGAAAGGAGCAGGGGGCACTGCAGGTGGAATCAGAGAGCCCAAGATCAACTTCGGGCTCTTCAGAGTCACAGAACCTCAGTGAGCTCACCCATAAAATGGAGATAATCTCACGACTTCACAGGGTTTTATGAGGGTTAAATGATAAATACTTTGGGTCCGTATGTGTCTGGAACACACAGTTCCCTGCCCGCTCTTCCTAGAAACCCTGAGTAATGTTCTGACATCGCGAGGACCTGCCCTCTGGCTCCTGGATTGTCCCTCTATCTCTGCCTCTGTCCCTCCTCCTTCAGCCCTGCTTCTCCACACTCTGGGGACAGAGCAATCCCTTACCACTCCTTTGATCCCTCTCTGGTTTCCTCTAAGCCTAGGAGGAAATGAAATAGCACCACCCTTGGGGAGGGAAGGGGAGACCCCAGGGAGATGGGAAGAGAGGGGGAAGAGGAACCCAGACTGAAAGCAACCCTGGGACTAATTCCTAAATCAGAGGGAACCCCCCAGAAGTCTAATAATAAAAACCTACAACAGGAAGAAGCAGAAAGGGGTGGATCTGATGCTTCTCCGGCAAGGCCGCTCCGGTTTACTGCCAATTTGCGGCCAGGCAGAGTGCCCTGCTCAGGGGCCAACCCCTTCCTGGGCTCTGCAGGAGCAAAAGGGCCCAGTTCCCCCCAAGCGAGGCTTCCTTACTCCCCACCGGACCCCCTGTTGGCCCCAGAGAAGCAGAGGAGGAGGGAGGTGGCTCTAGTCGCAGAGGTTCCTTTCCCTTTCCTGCTCTGCACCCCAGGTCAGTGAGCCCCTCCTCGTTTCCTTCCCACTGCAGGGGAAGGGAAATGCCGGTAGGGTTGGAGTTTCCTTCAAAGCTGTGGCTCCTGTGCTGGGACTCACCCCTGCCTCTGTCAGTCTCCTTGGGCCAGGCCTGGGGAAAACCCAACAAACAGAAATAGGAACCACCCAAAATTCCCAGCTGCTTCTATTGGTCCCAGTCAATCATGATAAATCTCAGGAATAGAGACAAAAATGGCATAGGTCCTCTGAGGAGAGGGAGAGAGATGTCTGAAACTTTCCTGTGAAAGGGATTCTGGAGGCTTGAGGGAAGGCAGGCAAGGGCTGTCTATTTTGAGCAAATACAGAATGCGAGCTGGTGGTTTCCTTGATGTCTTCCCTCTCAGAACCACCTCCCCACCAAGTCCCCTATGGCTGGCCACTTCTCCCCAGTGTGGCAGCCCCAGCCGCCACGCTCAGCCCACGGGGGTGGGGAGCCCTGGGAAGCTGAGTCTAGAACTTCCCCAGAGATGAAATGAGGCACTGTCCCGGGCACTACATGCTGCTGAGCCCCAGCTCCGGGTCACAGCAGCCAGCAAAGCCTCTCGGGCATCCACAGATCAGCCCATTATACAGATGGCAGAGGAGAATGCGGTGAGGTCCCAGGTTTGGGA